TTTTTTTTTTCAAAAGGTTCCTGGGAAAAAATTCCATTATCTTTTCATTCCATCTATTCACGCACTTTTTGAAGTCCCCTTGTATGTATGTGTATGTGTGTGGGTGTGTAAGTGTACATGAACAGATACTGCATTTTCTGTTCAAACCGATTTATGCTGTGAGAGGAAAAGTGGCAATTTGGCAGTGGATGCTGGGAAGTCTTCAAGCCATTCCTTGTCCTTGGATGAGCACCTGCTTCTGGGAACGTAGTGTAAGGAAGTCATTCGAAGCCGAGGAGAAGCCTTTCCACACATGAACATCCTGGGTGCTGTTTGTAAGCGTCCACAACTAGAAACGACCCAGAGGTGGGGCAGCAGAGGTGGCTGGTGAACTCCGTGTCGCCTGGGCGCCTTCAGCGTGGCACGGGCCTCTGCTGTGATGGGCGGACCAAACGAGAGGCCCTGTTGACTGTCGAGTCCAGCAGTGTCAGTAAAAAGCCTTCAAGCCTGTGTACAGAAAGGTGGTCCGAGAGGAGGATATAGACCACCCGCCATCAGCTCAGAGTGGTGGGACAAAGGTGGATTTACTGATGAATTCTTTAATAAGTAAGGAAAGAGTGCATTATGAGTATGTGGTAAGACCCAATAAACCACGCCCCTGGGGGCCCTGGAGGTCCCCAATTGCCTTTCCAGCCAGCCCTCTCTCCTGTGTCTCCCAGGGACCCATGGTGTGCATAGACTGCGGCCCCCTGGCCCCGCCCGCCACCTCAGAGGCTGACAGCTCGGAGCAGCACAAGCATCACTTCCTGGACCCCAACTGCACAGTCTGCGGGGGTGGGAGCCGTGCGGTGGCCTTTGGGAGGTGTCCAGGTGGGATGCCCATGCCCCCTGACACCTGTCAAACAACCTCTTCAATCCTGGCTCTCAAGCGGTGGTCTGGCTTCAGGATCACTGTCCTCCTGTTTCAGCGCCTGCCTCTGCTGTTCGCAGACTTGGAGCCCTCGGGTGAGCTGCCGGACGACGCCAAAGCCACTATCGGGAACGGGGACAATATCTTCCAGAGACTCTCAAACCCAGCCCCTGTGTCCTCCCCAGAGATGGCACCAAGCAGGGAGAAGCCTCCCACAGAGACCCAGGACAGGTGGGGAGTGGGCAATTGGTGGGGGGCACCTGCTGGTGTAGCAGACACCATCCACTGCCACCAAGTCCATTGAGACTCCTCACGGCCCACTCTGGGGTCTCCAAGGCTGTGCGAGTCCGTCTGAGAGCAGACAGCCTTCTCTTTCTCCCAAAGACTCGCTGTTGAACGCTTATGTGGTGCCACCACCCGGACTCAGAGCAGGGGCTTTCTCACTGTGTGGTCTTGGCTGAGACGTACTGCCTCTATGGGCGTCCGTTTCCCATCTGTGCAGTGAGACAGTTATTTCAGCCTGCTCGATGTCCCTCTGCACAAGGCCAAGCTTGGACCAACGTGTTGGCTCGGCCAGCACAGTGACTTTTGTTCTAGCCCCGTGCCACGGGAACCCAGGCCCTGCTCTGAAGAAAAGGGGGTAGAAGCTGGGCTGGTCCTGATGACTTGCTGTGCCTGACCCTGTCTCTCTGCCCACTCTCTAGGTCCCAGACACCCGCTGGGACCACCAAGGCTCCGCCCAGCCAGCCCCTCTGGGAGGGGGCTATACACATGTTCTCCATCAAGCCATTCCGGGTCAAGGCTCAGCTGGTCTCAGGACACAGCTGTCGGCTTGTCCAGGTACTCCTGCCTTGGGGGGGGGCATGGGGGGAGCAGCCGGGGGAAGCCCAGCCAGCTACCTATACCCCTGAGTGTGCATGCATTCATTCCATCATTTATTCACCCACTTCTCTAACTTGGGTCACTGGCACCCCTGAGCCAAGCCGGGGACAAAGGACACGTCCTGCAGAGACACATGGTAAAGGACGGGCGCTCAGGGCCAGGAGGAGCCTGGTACCTTCCAGGCCTCCTAAGTGGACTTTTAGGAATGACTGTAGAGTGACAGAATGTCTGAAGGGTGTGTGCGAGGCTGGGGGAGATAGGTGTTTCAGAGACCAGCTGTAGGAGATGGCTCTGGCCTGCCTGGGGCCCCAGAGCGGTGAGGGCTTCCTAGTAGCTGCCTCCAAGGTGGGCGGTACTGAGTCTGCCCTGAGTAGCGGACCTGGGGGTGGGATGGGGGGCAGATGCTGGGAGCTGACCGGCCACCATCCAACCCCCAGGCCCTGCCCGAGGTGATCCGCTCAGCTGGCTGTGTTGCTCCCACCACTGTCTGGGACCTGCTGGCCAGCGTCTGCCCAGCTGAGGCCAAGGTAACAGGGCATCTTTAGGGGTGGCCTCTTCTCCTAGCAGCTCACCCCTCTTAGCCCTACCTGCCGTAGGTTCCCAGAAATATCACAGTGGTGGCTTTAGAAAACAGACATTTATTTTCCCACCATTTGGGAGAGTAGAGGTCTGGATCCAGGGCTTCGGCCGTAGGTGGGCCCTGGCAGAAGGCCTTGGTTGCCCTTAAGCTATTCCGGGTGGCATCTGTCTCTCCCTCCCTGTCTGTACCTGCTACTGTGTGTCTAATCTGCTTTGTGGACACTTCAGAAGTGATTAGGTTTAGGACCTTCCTACATTAATGTGCTGCCTCATTAGCATAACAAAGAAGCCCCTCTTCCCAAAGGGCATCACAGCCCCCCATAGATGACGTGAGATTCCAAGACACAGTTGATCTGTAATACTGTCCCTACATTCCTCTCCCTATCTCTGGGTGAAGGCCTGGCTCTGAGGTATTGGGTTTGGTTTCCAGCGTGACCTCTGACCCCAGGCAGGCACCTGTTTCCTCTGCTTGCTGTCCAGTGGGAATCATTGTCTGGGTTCCCAGTGGTTTAGATGAAGCTAGGGGTGTTTGCAGAAGCAGTGGGGAGCTCTCCTCCCCAAGTTGTTCTCCTTCCTGTGGCCACAGGACGTCAGCGTGGTCAGACTGTGCCCCCACGGGGCCCGGGACACCCAGAACTGCCGCCTGCTCTACTCCTACCTCAACAACAAGCAGTGCCATTGCTTGGCGGCTGTGGACCATACGAGGATGGTCCTGCTGCCCCTGCCTGCCTTCCAGCCTCTGCCTGCCAGGTTGCGTCCTCTGGGAGGCCCAGGTGAGTGCCTGATGCTCAGACCAGGTGGGCAGACCAGGCCTGGTTGGCACAGCCACCAAGTCTCGCCAGAACAAGGGCGTATCTCAGAAGGAAATCCAGAAACAGCCTAGGATGATAGCAGTCATAGCTCATCCTTGTATGGGCCAAGCGGATGCCCTCCTCGAACGAGACCCTCTGCAGTTGCACCTCCAGGGGCCTCCTGTCCCCACCAAGCCCTGTTCCAGCACCAGGAATCCCTGGCGACTAGGAACCACCAGCTCCAAGCCTCAGTGGCTCCTGGGCCAGGAGCTGCCGCCTTGTGCATAACTCTAAAGCCTTACTGATAGCCATGCATTGAAGCCTCAAAAGAGCCCCCAGGAAGTTGTTGTTAGGGGCCACCAAGTCGGTTTTGACTCAGAGCGACCTTCTGCACAACAGAATGAAGCACTGCCTCAGCAAGTATGCGCTGAAGCCAATTGATGCAGACACTGTGTCAGTCCATCTCCTCCTTTTCGCTGACCTCCTACAGGACCAAGCATGATGTCCTTTTCCAGGGACTGGACTCTCCTGATCACATGTCCAAAAGACGTGGGCCCACGTCTCACCATGCTCGCTTCTAAGGAGCCCTGTGGTTGGCTTCTTCCAGGACAGAATTGTTTGTTCATTTGGCGGTCCATAGTCTTTTCAATATTCTCCACCAGCACTGTAATTCAGATGCATTGATTTTCCTTCAGTCTACCTTCTTCAGGGTTGACCTTTCACATGCATAGGAGGCGATTGAAAATAGCACGGGTTGGGCCAGGCACACCTTAGTCCTCCAGTGACATCCTTTCTCTTTTAACACTTCAGAGAAGGGCTGGACAACAGATTTGCCCAATACAGTACATTTGGATGTCTTTTTAAAAATAAATCGCGTTATCAGGGGCTCTGACAGCTCTTCTAACAATCCATCCATCAATTGAATCAAGCCCATTTGTACATATGTTGCCATCATCATTTTCAGAACATTTTCTTTGGTATCAGCTCCTCTGTTTTCATTTGCATGTCTTGGCAGCTGCTTCCATGAGCTTTGGTTGAGGTTCCAAGCAAGATGAAGTCCTTGGCAGCTTTACTCTGATTGGTTTACCAGGATGCTGTCTCTCGGCCCAGGTGTAAGGAGTTTGGTCTTTTTCACATTGACTTGTAATCTATAATAAAGGTCGCAATCCTTGATCGTCATCTGTTAAGTCCACCAAGCCCTCTCAGCAAGCAAGGTTGTGTCAGCTGCATACTGCAGGTTGTTAATAAACCTTCCTCTAAGCTTGATGCTGGCTCTTATTCAGATAGCCCAGCTGCTTGGATTATTTGTTCTGCGTACAGATTGAGTAAGTATGGTGAGAGGATACAACACTGACACAGACGTGTCCAGATTATAAGCCGTGCAGCATGCCCTTCTGCCCATGCCTCTGGGTCCATGTACAAATTCCACGTGGACATAATGAAGGTTCTGGAATTCTTCCTTCTCAATGTTATCCAGTTTGTTATGATCGACACAGTGGAATGCCTTTGCATAGTCAATAAAACAAGTTCCCATCTTGGTATTCACTGCTTTCAGCCAACATGTATCTGAGGCGGCAGTGATATCCCTGTGTCAATGATGTCCCTTGTGTTGTGTCCCCTTCTGAATCCAGCTGAATTTATAACAGTTTCCTGTCAATGTCCTGCTGCAGTCATTGTTGGATGATCTTCACCACAATTTTACTTGCATGTGCTACTAATGACACTGTTCTATAATTTGTGTATTCTGTTGGGTCACCTTTCTTTGAAATGGGCACAAATGTGGATCTCTTCCAGTCAGTTGACCAAGTAGCTGTCTTCCAAATTTCCTGGCCTAGATGAATGAGTGATTCCAGTGCTGCTTCAGCTTGTTCAAACATTTCAATTGGTACCCCGTCAATTCCTGGAGCCTTGTTTTAGCTAATGCCTCAGTGCAGCTTGGACTTCTTCCTTCTGTATCATGGGTTCTTGATCATACGCTACCTCTTGAAATGATGGAATGTCAACCAGGTCTTCTTGGTGCAGTGACTGTAGGTTTTAAAAGTTTTTTTCATTTTCCTTCATCATTCAATGTTTCGATGATAGAATCCTTCAGTATTTCAACTTGAGGTTTGAATTTTCTTCAGTTCTTTCAGCTGAGCACATTCTTCCCCTCTGGCTCTCTCACTGCAGCTCTTTCCACATTTCCTTGTAATATTTGACTTTGTCTTCTGGAGCTACAGTTTGAAATCTTCGATTCAGCACCTTGACTTCATTTCTGCCGTTTGCCCTAGCTACTCCACAACCAGGAGCAAGTGTCAGAGTCGTTTCCGACGTCCACTTGGATCATTTCCCCCAGTCTTGAATGCCCTGTGTTTTCTTCATGGGTGCTGTTCTGGATGTCGTTCCACAGCTGGTCAGCTCTCCCGTCGTCAGTGGTCAGTGTGTCCAATCTGTTCTTGAGAAGTGGGATCGACTCAAGGTCGTATTTGGCTCTCGTGGATTCGTTTTCGTTTTCCTCCTCTTCAATCTGAGCATACATATGCGCAGTTGAGGGTCTGCTCCACAGTTGGGTCCTGGCCTCATTTTGGCTGTTAATCGTGAGTTTCTCCATCATCTCTTCCTTTATAGTCAGCTTGCTTCCTGTGCATTCTGTTTGGTGAGGTTCCTGTGTACACTCACTTTTTATACTGTTGAAAAAACATGTTTTTGATGAAGTTGTTCGTCTTGCAAAATTCCATCATGCAGTCTCCAGCTTCTTCTCTGTCACGGAGGCCACGGTTTCCAACTAACGCCCCTTCTTTGTTTCCAGCATTTGCATTCCATCCGCCAATAGTCACCAATGCATCTTGATTATATGTTTGATCAGTATCAGACTGAAGAAGTTAGAACTCTCCAGCTTCTTCATCGCTAGTGTTAGTGGTTGTGACATACATTTGAATAAAAGTTGTACTAACTGGACTTCCGTGTAGGGGTAGAGATCGTATCCCCTTCCAAACAGCATTGTATTTCAAGATCAATCTTGAAATATTCTTTCTGATGATGAATAGGACACCATTTCTCTTAAACCTGTCTTTCCCAGCGTAGTAAACCATATGACTGTCTGATTCAAAGCGGCCAATGCTAGTCCATTGCAGCTCACTAATGCCGGGATCTCGGTCTTTATGCAGTCCATTTCATTGTTGATGGCTCCCAGCTTCCCCGGACCCGGGCTTCATGCCATACTTCCATCACGTGTACATTCCATAGTCTGATTCTTAGCAGAGGTTTGCAGCCGTTTCTTCTAGTGTGGAGTTGTGCCCCATCAGCTAGTAAAGATCCCCACAACCCGACTTCATCCCCATGGCTGATTCTCCTTGGAGAAGGCACCCCCCGCCCCTCCCCCAGTCAGACTTTGAGTGCCTTCTGACCTGAGGGGCTCCTCTCTGGACACGGATCTAGCAGTGTTTCCTTACTATTCGTCAAGTTTTCATGGCGAACCCCTTAGACGTGTCCAGCCTTTTTCTTCTCCACAGCCTGTGCTTAGTCTGGAAGCTTCATGTGACATCCCGGTGATCACTTCCAGCAACACATGAGCCCCTACAGTAGGACAGACTGACACACGAGTGGTGGCCCTCTGTAGATTCTCTCTCTCTTCCCCATGCCACTTCCCAGAGGAGAACACTGAGGTAGGGGCATCTGCCTAGCAGAACCAGGCTTCAGCCCCAGGTGGCACAACCCTACCCCCTACCCCCTGCCTTTGCTCCTGCCCACCACCCTGCACTCGCCATCATTAGCTAGAAACTCATGATCAGACCCCTCTGGCCCAGAGGCAGCAAGATGAGAGACAGACCCACCAACAGTGGACTGAAAACATCACCACAGGTGGGGCAGAGGGATGTTTTTGCCATCGATGTGCTGGACCAGTGGGGCCTGGGTATGTGCGGTAGAATCCTCGCCTTTCATGCAAGAGACTCAGGTTTGATTCCCGGCTGACACACCTCACGTGAACAGCCACCACCCCTGTGTCCGTGGAAGCCTGCCTGCTGCTATGCTGCTGAACAGGTTTCAGCAGAGCTTTCAGACGAAGGTGGACGAGGAAGAAAGAGCTGGCGACAGTGTGACCCAAAGCAGATCGTGGGGATGGTGCAGGAGAGGGTGTCACCACGAGTCGGGTGGAATGGCCTTAGTAGCAGGAGGAAGACTGTGTCAGGCCCTGAGCAAAGCTCTGCCGGGCCTGGGACAGTGAGATAGACACTGAATCCCTAGGGTCTTGAGAGCTGACCAGCCAGTCCTTGCCTGCAGCCAAGTTACTCCTTTCCCGCACGCCTAAGACCATATCTTCAGAGACTGGCTCGGTCCCCTTGCTCCCTACACCTGTTCTCAAAGCATCTCAAGGGTCGCTGTTCCTGGAAGTTCTTGAAGTCTAGCCTCGGGCCCTCCTGCTGTAGCCTTTGTGTCTCCCTTTTCTCTCTCCCTCTCAATAACCCAGTTTCCCCAGCATACTTACTCATCAGTTGCATGTGGGTTTGTGACATTGTTCGCTGGGGACTAGGCCCCACCCGACCCTGCTTATTGGACCACTTACGCCTTGCTTTCTCTTCCCAGGCCTGGAAACTACTCACTCAAGCCTGCTGCTGGCCGTGCTGCTCCCCACGGCAGGGCTGCCAGCCACAACAGGCCCCAGCCCCTTGAAGGAGGGGAGGGTTCGCAAGAAGGTCTCCTTCAACAGCAAAGTGGAGACAAGATGCTACAAGGAGGACAGGAAACAGGATGTGCCCCTGAAGGGCTCCCCCCCACCCCAGGGCACCCTGCAGCAGAGCCAGCGCCGCCACGGCGGCGGCGGACTGGCTCCAAGGGAGATGTGTGCCTGGCCCAGGCCCTCCAGGGGCAGGGGGCAAGTGTGGGCTGCTGGTCGAGGGCAGTGGCCCCCAGGGCGAGGCGGGTTCCACTCTAGGAACACTGATGCAGCAGCCCCAGCTGGCCAGTGGTTTGACCGTGGCCATCACCTCCACAGGGCCTCCTGTCCCCACCAAGCCCTGCTTCAGCACCTCCAATCCCTGGTGAATATGAGCCACCAGCTCCAAGCCTCCCTGTGGCCCCCAGGCCAGCAGCCCCTGCCCCCACCCTCTGCACAGTCTGCCCACCCCCCTGACTCAGCACCTAGCTTCTCTGTGGGCCCCACAGGTGGGACTCCCAGAGGGACCCCTTCCCAGAGAGGTCTGACATCCCCCACCCCTCAGAAGAGGGAGGCTTGAGCTCTTCATTAGTGCTGAACCCGGAGTTGTTCCCAGGAGGGAGGCAGGGGTGGGGGAGGGGAAGGTCAACCCACCCATCCGGCTTTAGTTTCTTGTTCTTCAGTCTGTTGGGGTTGGTTTGGGTTCAATAAAGAGTTGCACAGATGTGGGGCTGCACCTGCTGACTGGCTAAGAGATCTGCATCTGCAGGAGGCGGGGGTGGGGGGCCTGTTGCTGTACAGAGGTGCTTCAGAGCCAAGGGCTGGCCCTGAGGGGGTGGCAGCCTAGTGAATGTCTTGTCCCATGTCCCCTTTGTCCCAGGGCACAGCCGTTACCAGATGGGCAGGGGAGATGGGAGAGGAGGGGGAGGCGGGGAGGGAAATGGGTGGAGGCTGTGGAAAGGGTACCAGTTAAAAAACCATTGGGTGATAAGGGTGGTGTGTCGGAGTAGAATTGTGCTGAACAGAGTTTTCAACGGCTGATTTTTCAGAAGTAGATCACCAGGCCTTTCTTCCAAGGCACCATTGGTGGGCTCTTAACCACCCACCTTCTGGTGAGCACCACCCAGGGTCTCCCGCTCAGACAGTCATCCCGAAATTGCCAGGAAGGAGAAGGCGAGCACGCTGCTGTGGGTTTAAGTTCATTTGCCAAGGGGTGTCGGTCAGACTTACACCGTGGTGTGTGTGTGCGCGCACGCCCTGTTGAGGATGGATGGGGGGCCGGGCCCTTCTCCCCCTACCTCCTGTCACTCCCACAGACTTGGGGAAGGCGATCAGTTAGGGCAGGGGTGCTGCCTGGCCATGGGGTGTGGTGTACCTCGGAGGGCTCAGAGAGTAACAGGCACACACACCCTGGTCACAGGACCAGAAAGGGGAAGCAGGGCCTCGTTTGGGGAAAAGATTTATGTGCCAGGACCCCAAGTTTCGACCCCGGACCTCAGGGGATATACCCCAACCCATTCCTCTCAGAGCTTGCGCACAAACCAGCCTCACCCGGTACCCAGTTGGACTGGAGTGGGTGGGAAGGTGGTGGGGTGGGGGCTGGGAAGCCCGCTTCTCTGCTCCAAGAGTTCTGCGGCTGCCCTACCCGCGGCGGACAGCAGAGGGGGCCCTCAGCCTTGGGATGGAGGCCGGGGCTGGCGGGATGGAAGGCCGGACTTGGGGGTTGGGCGAGAATGTAGTGGGCGGAGTTGTAGGCTGGGGTCAGGGGGTGAAGACTAGGGGCCGGTGGGGGTGGACGGGGGCTGCTGGACAGGTGAGCCTGGGGCGGAGCTCTTGCTGAATGTTTTCCGGCTTCGAAGGGCGTGGGAGCACCACAACCTCCAAGCCATATGCAAATGATGGGGATTAATTATGCAAACCCGGAGCTCTGATTCTGAGTCTGCAACTTGGGTGGGGTTTTCTTTAACGCGGCTGTGTGTGGGGGTAGCGGGTGTGTGTGGATGGAGAGGGCTGTGCCGGACGTCCTCGACCGCGGAGGCGCAGGGCCTCCTCCGAGGGGGACGGGAGCGACCCCGGCAGCTCGGCGGAGGGTTGCCTTCCCTGGCATTTAAGGAAGAACAAACTCCGTACTCCGGGACGTGGCTTTCCCCGTTAATCGGGGAGAGACTGAGGCTTCCGGACGCCTTGCCCCGCGGGGCGGGGATGGTTTATAGGCGGACCCCATCCTGCAGCCTGCTCCAAGGTCGGGGGCTGCTCAGTACTGACGCCCACCTTTGCACCCTAGCTCTGAAGCCTGGGCCTTTCCTCCCCTTCAGCGGCGACTAGGGGCGTGGATTAGGCGGGGTGTTGCCAGGGGGCGTAATCTGGCGGGTGCTAGGCTGGAGGGACGTTGCTAAGCAACGTTGGGCGGGTCTCGTGTTGCTAGGCCCGGAGTAGGCGTCGTTAGGATTCCGAAGGGCCAACTAGCCCCTTTGGTTTTAGAGGGAGACGCCCCAGGCTGGCGAGGATGGCAGCGATTCTCGCCCTGAGGCTCCTGTGATCTGCAATGTGCGCGACCCGCTGCCCCACTCCCTGGCTTCTCTGGGCTGGAGGACGCAGTCCGAGGGGAGTTCCGGTTCACACCCTCTGGGCTGTGCAGCGAGGAACCCTGGGTCTTTGTGCAAGTGTCTAAGCGCCTGCTGGGGGTGGGGTTGGAGCGGGGGCATCGAGTTTGGGTTTCCATAGCAACAGCTCCTGGGTCACTCCCTCCCCTTTGCTCCCAAAGGTTTGAGCGGTTACTTGTGTGTATTTACATATATCTGCATGTCATTAACATAGAAGCGGGGCCGGAACTTGTGAGAGCAAGTATCCCAGGACAGTTCTTAGCTTCTCCCTTTGCTGGGCAGGTGAGGGCTGTGCACACGAGAGTATTTTGCGTCTTGCTGTTTACCAGATCTGGGTTTGGTGGGGTGAGCTATCATGGTGACCACCAGTTTGCAGCCCCCACCTCACTTGATTGAACCATTAGCAGGAATCCACCCAAGCACCGCTGCCCAGAAGAAACACGCAGGCTCTCAGACAGGCAGTGCAAGGCCTGGTTGAAACCCCAGTGTGGCCCTTTCGGGGTTGTGCAGCCTTGGGCAAGCTTAGTTCCCTCTGCCTCAATTTCCCTCTCCATAAATGGGGATATGTCCAGTTCGACTCTGTCACACGGAGTCCTTGCGAGTCAGAATCAACTCAACAGCCAGCACCAAACAGTCCCCAACTCCAAGACCCCATGATCCATGGTTACCCACTTAGGACTGGTCTGCTGCAGAGCAGGTACTCCTGGGAGCCCCAGCACCTCTCAGAACTGAACCACAGGAGATTCGTTGCGGCTCAAGAGATGGTGGGCAGTCAGATACCAGGAAGAACTTCCAGATGGCATGGCAGATTGGTTTGCTTGCGTGTCCTGCTGGGAGACTGGAGGCCAGGCACGCTCTTCCACAGTGCCAAGCACACACAGAAAGGTGGCAGCTGAGGTTGGGAGGTTCGAACACCAGACTGAGGAGGGTAGGGGCTGGGGAAGGGGCTGTTGGAGCTGAGAAGCCAGGGATGAATTAGGCCAGAGAGCAGGAACTGGGCTCAGGGGAATCCCCACATCTGAGCCTTTACCACAGAGGACTCGGGGCCCTGGGGCTACTCCCTTGGCCTCTCTGGGCCTCAGTTTCCCATATGGACAGTAGGAATTCCTCAACTCTAAGGGCCAGAAGGCAGCTCAGGAACTCCCACAGCCGAAGCCCGGAACAGGGCTGAGGAGGGAGCCAGCTTCCCTGTCCTTGTAAGCAGAAGTGGAGATGGGGCCCAGGTCTTATTCTTGTGGGGCTCTACTTGCCCCCAGATACCCTCCTTGGTCACTGGGAAGTCCTTTCTGGGGTTCATTTGCACCTTCTTTGCTCTGGCCCTGTTTTCCCCCAGGGTCTCTAGCCCTTCACAGCCTTGACCGCCTGGCTCTGAGGGAAGGCAGAGAACAGGCTAAAGGGGGAGACCCGCTTCAATGTATGCTGACCTCTCAGTTCTGTTCAGTAATTAAAATGAATGAGGTCGACTCCCACACTGGGGAGAGGAAAGCAGGTGGGAGTGGGGTGAGCTACGGGAGCTGGATCGGTTCTGATTGGTCAGCTGGCTTCCACAGGAGGTGGGATGGCATGGGAGCCATACCCTGCAGTTGTCACCACTGTATGCAGCAATGTGCCTGCCGGAGAATGGCGGTGGGCCAGCTCCTTCCCTGGAAGCCACCTGTCCTCTACAGGTGAGGGCTCCAGGGACAGGCGGAGAGCCTGGCAGTGCCCGACTGGCCTGCCTGCGTCCCACTCTGGGGGCCAATTAAGTCTCTATCCCTAGCCGCGCCGATTAACAGTTAATAAGGCAGCAAACACCTGCAGCTATGGAGGCGAATTAAGAGCAACAGTCGGCATAATACACAACCCGATAAGTGAGCAATTAACAACCGGAGAAAGATTAATAGAAGCAATTATGTCCTACTCAGAGCTCTGTAAATACGACTGTCAATGACTGGGGGATTCAGTCCAGTCCCGCCCAGCCCCGCCCCAGGGCAGAGCCTCTGCCGGAAGGGGAGCCAACCAGTCAGCCTGTGGGTCCCGGACCACGCAGCCCTGTACACATGCGGTGCACACGGAGAGGCAACATGACCATCAACATAACAGAGACACAGACCTCCAAGAGACAGCTCACAAGATGCAGTCACAGGAGACACACATCGCCCGCTGTCACACACACTCACACTCACATAGCCAGTACACAGGACCACCAAGATACAAGGGGGCTTCAAAAAGTTCACAGAAAAATCCCACGATCTTCTCATTCCATTAATCCGTGGATTTCTTCCTTGCAGCCCCCTCGTACATAAAGAAATAGCCACACAGTGTCAGCGACAGCCCCTGCCTGCCCCAGCGTACACAAGGCTCAAGGCACAGAGTACCACTCACACAGTGACCCTCAGACATAGACAGACTTACGTACATAGTAGACACAGCCACACACTCAGGGCCCAGGGGGCATCCAGCATCGCCCCCCTTGGAGCGGCTCATCCAGAGTGAATGAGGACGCTGGAGCAGGAGACGGGGAGTGAGGGTGGAGGGGACACGAAGGGACGGAATGTGTGCGGCTGTGTGTGCACGCATGTTTGCATGTAACACAGTCTATGTGCCCTTTTAAGAATGTGTAGGGGAGGCCTTCAAAAAATTCCTAGAAAAATTCCATTCTCTTCCAGTACCATCTTTCCCCAAACGTTTTGAAGCCCTTTCCTACATGCAGGATGATACACCGGTCTTACCCATTGATGTATGGGTATGTGTGTTTCTGCATGTGTGCACACTTGTGCCTGTATGTGTAACTGTGTGGCTGTGGGAGTGTGTGTTGTGATGTGTGTATGGGTGTGCACCACCATGGTGACCCATGTAAGGGCCCCGTTCATATGTGAGCCTGGGCTGGTGCTCAGCTCTGGGTAAGCGTGTGACTTTACTTCAGAGTGGCTTTCTCTCTCTCTCTCTCTCTCTCTCTTGGTGGTCATGCGATGATCCTGAGTCTTCACTGGGGTGGCTTCCCAGGGCAGGTGTTCCAATGAGCCCTGCACCCAGGCACAAGGGCTCCAGGAGAGTCCAGGCCCTTCTATTATCCCTTAGGCCTCTGGCACAGGGCCTTCCGGCTTCTCTGGTGGGGCTCAGGACCGTGCACCTCACTCAGGTAGGAGGAGAGAGGTGCTAACTGGTCGGAAAGAAATGGATCTTTGGGTGGAAGGCTGCACCAAGACTTCACTAAGAATGGGTGCCTTTCTCCCAAACCACAGCCCCAGTACCCACTGGGCCCTCCCTGCCCAACCTCAAGTCTGCAGCTCCGCAAGAAAATACCCAGACCCTAATCCCTGCCCTTAGCCCACAGTTTGAGACACATAGTCTCCTATGCAGAAACTCTAAGCCCCCTCGTATAAACATAGATACACAGTCATGACTGCACACACACCATCCTACTCACAACCACACTACCGCGCCCACCCACCCCCCAATCACACACACACACATCCCATACATCCGATACACACAGGTCACATGTACTGCGGGCTCACACACCTGCACTCCCACATGCCCTCACACACCCAGCCCTCTTTGAGGCCGGAGGGTCCTCCCTTCCCCCAGCACCAGCCTGGCCAGATGGCCAGGCCTCGGGGCCCCAGGAGAGCTCTCCATCACTGCTAAGCCGCTGGCTGACAGGGAGCTGCACTGAGGCCTGGCTCTGCCAGAGCAGGGCAAGGGTGTGCACACGGAGGTAATGAGGCTCAGCAGCAGCCCCCAGACCCAAAGGGGCCTGCCCCAGGGCCTCGCCTTGCTTTGCAGAGAGGCGGCTCTGAGCTGCCAACATGCAAGCTTAGATGCACGGAGGTCGCCACCCCGTTCAGACAGCCACAGGACACAAGAGGACCCAGGCACAGGTAGACACTGGCCCCTATGCCCTTTCTGCAGGGGTGGGCTACTTACCGACCAGGGTTGACCTTGTGGAGACTGGCCAGGCCCTTTGCTCCCATCTCCCACCACCTCATGAAAACGGACAGGAGAGGGTGCCGCCGTTCTGGGCCAGCCGAGCTGAGGCCTCCAGAGCCTGTCAGGCTGCCTTTGGGTCAGTCAACCCAGGCTGCTGTTTGACTTTCGTGCATTGGGCCTGTGTGTTTCATTCATTCACGCTCACTCAGCTAATAAGGATATTAAGCAAACCGTTGTGTTCTGTCCACAGACTTGG